AAGATAAATAAAGATAAAATGTAGTCATGTATTAGTTTGTTTTGTCACATAGATTGAAATTCGAGTCGCTGGATCTGTGAGGGTATTAGATATTCGTTCATTGGTTTCCCTGCAAAATGCACAGCGGTGTGCTAAACTTTTGCCAGCCATCGGGATCGTGGCCTGGCAGTTGTTGGGGCTTCAATGGCTGTACCGGCCGTGCTCTACTACACGGGTAACGATATATACAATACACGGTACGTGTGCGCCACGTTGCCTTAAACACTTTTTGTTTTCGCATTTAAATTTTGGCTCGCCATGAAATATGGCAAATAAATCGCGCCCGTGTTATTTTTGCGAAAACTTTATGGCTTATCTGTGCTTCGTTTGGGGCTAAGCCGTGCCACGGAGTGGAGGCTGAGCGGGCCAAGAGGTTAGCGTCAAGTGCTTGGTTAGTTATTAGACTAAGGGCACTAGCAATTGGCTCTGGAAAAACATTGCGGTAGATAGTTGTGTGTGTATTGCAGGTGCTGTTCCTTTTACTGTTTCTTCCAAAAACTATAAAAGTTTGACAGGCTAAAGATAGTTTCGGAATCTTGTTGGTAGTACAGCTAAGACTTTGGCCTTCACTTTAAACAGTTTCGATAACACCTTGGGAAATTTTAACCATATGCAACAAAGGCAGCTGAGTCAAATAAATTACTTTGCACTTTAGTAAAATTTCGACTCCTCAGATTTATTTACCTTTCTCGACTTTGTACAGCATTACTCACGAAAACAATAATTCCAATATGCATTTGATTAATAAATTTCAGCTTAGACTATTTTTGATAATTTTCTATGAAAGCTTTTCATAATTGAAAGAATTGTCACAGTAAAAAACCCTGTCACATCGAAATTAAAGTCAAACTATCAAATCCACAGGCAGTCGGAGGCTAAGTGCAACCGCGTGCTGTATCTCTGTAAGTCGTAATAAAACGTAAAAAGTCAACAAACAAGAGGCAAATAGTAGACGAGCTCAAGCTGAGTCGTAGACGGACAAAATTGCTAAGCAAATAGCGCAAGGCGATGAGTTGGGGGTGGGGGATTTGCTGTGACTACTGCCGAACATGCCCCACAAAATACACGGCTAGCCGCCCCAGTGTGCTCTCCAGTCCACTTTCTACACATCCATGTCCCCTTTCCCCCTGACTTGCTGTCTACACGCTCTGCTCGCTGCCCGCGCAAATAAATATTTGTGCATATTTAGCTGAGTGCCCGCTCTTCGCCCCTTCGCGCCACATAAAGTTCAACACACTTTGCAACTGCAGTGCAAGTGCGAGAAACATGATTTGATGCAACAGCAACGGCAACGGCAACAATAACAAAACTGAAAAACAAATCAGAAAACACAAAAAACGAGAGCCAAATAGTAGAGAACTCTCTGGTAACACAAAGAAACTGCCGGCTGTGCGAGGAAATACAAAACTATTTGCCACAAGTTGCAGCGGAGCTCGTGCAAGTGGCAGCAATTGAAAAGCAGCCCGAAAGAGGACGCCCAGAAACAAGAAAAATGCAGCGGGCAGCCGGAAAATCAAATAAGCATCAAAACAAAACAAAATGCGTCGCCGCAGGACGTGAGGCATGGACTGACAGAGCAACTGTCAACAAATTTATATAAAAAAAAAAAAATAAAATAAAAATAAAAATCGAAGGATAAAGCGAAAAAGAACAATTGAGAAGGCTCTAGTCGAGACTGCTCGACTAGGAGATACCCTGAACCCTCTAAGCTGATATTCTAATCATTCTTCACTTTTATACACATATACATACACATGCATCCACACGCACGCATAAGCCTGCGCTCTGCTAACTGCGCAGTAAGCAGCGACTGCGCTTGAGCTGCGCTGTAATGTGGGCAATATTATGAGAATTTATTTGTYGAAWAATTTCTTTYGTARACATACGATCTTAATGAAACTTTCAGAGYGTAATCATATGGTAAATATGTGTGTACATTTCTAGTACTTGAAATGTACATTTTGGTGGAGAAGGGGGCGTGGTATCCAAAATCTGTTAATTACAAAATCTTTGTATCGATATAAAGTTAATACAACGCAAATCTGAAGACTGCAGGTCTAAACCACGCCACGCCTCCTTCTGCCCATTTTCCCATTTTCAATGGGTTCAGGGTATAAAAAGCCAAAACTGCAACATAAGAAACCAAATAAGAAATGTGCAGCCGGGGTGCCCTACTTGGTGATGCCCCGAGCCCAGGGAAAAGCTGATATTGCAGTCAGTCTGTTCCACATTTATTCACATATCCATATCGCATGTAATGAGTGCTTCATAACTTTTCTTTGAGATATTCAATTTAATAATTAAGGATACCTACAGAGGGCGATAACATTCGTATGATAATGACATTTTCTAAATACTACTGAATTATTAGGTTTACTACGAAAGAAATGGTGGGGCCTGTTATGCAAAATCTGAGAAATACTAAATCTCATTAAATACAGATAAGTTTGGATATTTCCTAGTTCCAGTAGTCTACGAGATCATTGCAACCGGAAGGAGGAGTGGCTGAATGAGGATTTGGTTCTTGACGGACGAGTAGATTCAGTTTTATTTTTATGGAAATTTTTTAATCTATCCCTAAGGGCATCAAAAGTTCTTAAGCAATGTAAAATAAAGAAGAGTAAATAATCTGGTCAACCTCAGTACATCCCACCCTTTTGCCAGCTCGAACACATTCACGCGTCTGTATGTCTGTGTACATGTGTGTCGCTACATGCACTTCCGTGTGGTTTGTGTCACAATGGAACGGAAATAGCAGCTTGAGCACGCTTACCTACCCACACGCACACACACACACAGACACATTAACACGAAAACACAAGTCAGCACACACGCACACCCACACATGCACAGGCAAACAGTCCACAGTCGGCTGACAACAGGGAAGATCGTAAATTTCAATGCTTGACTTTTGACTCTCAATTGAAAATGTTGCATTTTGCAAAACGTTTTAGAACGAATTCTAGGTACGACTCCGGCGGGCATCTGACGTGTTCAGGTGCTGCACTGGCGGCAGCTCATCAGCAGCGATGCTGCTTTATCGGGAAACCTCTAGCCTGCCTCGCTGGACTATCACTTAGAGCGGCTCCAATTGCGGCACTATATCAAAGTCATGGATCCGCGTGTCTACTGAACAACGTGAGCTTCAATCTAATGCTCTTCCATGGCAATGAAGATGAGTCGTCCAGTCGCCGGGACGTGCAACACTTGGTGCACGGTTGTGTAAGAGGCGAATCAAACTGCACCAGTTGCGATCAATGTGATTGATTTCCAGCGTGGTTATACGAACGCACCATGCGAGAGTCCGACTTTTCATTATTTAGTTACTACAATACAGAAATTATAAACAAATAAGTAAGTAAGTAAGTAAGTAAGTAAGGAGATACTATGAACCCTCAAAGCTGACAGCGCGTGGGCTGCACTGCAGTGCAATGAAACGTTCGTGATCATATGGTTAAAATGTGTGTACATACCGCTACATCGACTCAGCTCGTCGCCCTGATCAAGAATGTATATGGGGTCTGCAATGATTCCTTCTGCCAGTTACGTACTTTTCACAAATCCATTATAACCTGATTTCCAGGGCCAGAGCGATGTCACTTGCACAGACCCTTAAGCGCTCACCACTATGCTGCACTTATGCAGCTAAGCTTCAATTAGACGAAGTTCTTCTTGTGTCAGATTGAACGCTACAATTTTCTCAGCGCTCGTAGCTTCACAGAATTGGTTGTAGGTAGGGACACACGTGTGGAGTCACGAATTTTCTTAAAATAACCTGATTTCCCATTTTCATTTACCCAGGTATAATAGTAATAAGCTACTCTCAAGCAGTTCAATTGCTTCAACAAGTTCAGTATCGAGTTTACTATCTTTATGATTTATGGTAAGTCAATAGATGCAACACAAGTATTTTAATTTCAACAATATCTAGAGCGGGAGCTGCACCTCAGATTAGTCGGGCTTCTGCAGGCCTTGTGCGCATCTGTGTGCACTTCCGCTTGCTTCCGCCCCAATGGAACGGAAACAGCGGCCTATGCGCCCCACACAGACATATCCAGCCACTTGAATGGAGCCTGGTCGGTCGAGTGAGACAACTCGAAAATTCAACTATGTAGCTTTTAGGTCTCAACTTCAACATTGTTAAACGATAACGATTCCAAAACAAACTGTTTATTCGTTTTTTTGTTTTTCATTTTTTACATTTATATTGTGTCCTACGAAAAAAAAAACACAAATCAACTAAAACGAAAACTTGGAAAACAGACCTCATAAGCTTCATACTTTACATTACACAAATTATTACGTTTATCATAATTACATAGGTAAATGAACTGGAATAGTTTGCTTGTCCAGCCATCGGTTCTATTGCTGGATGGGAGTCCTGTTGTTCCCAGTGTGGGTTTATTGCATTCGATATGTGTGGGTAATGGATGGGGTAGATAGCAATGCACACCTTAGCTAAGTTCGAAGCCCACACCAGACTGTATGGCATAGATTAGTTTCTCGCGCATCTGTTCAGCATTCTTAAAGGGCGGTAGCTTCAGGAGGTTCGTGCAGGTGCTGGCTGTGGGCAAACGCTCCATATCCCCAGCGTTCTGTATAAAGAACGGTGGATCCAAGTCCTAAGAAAAGCATCAATAATCAATTATGATAATGTTAATCGGCTTTGCTGCGTATATAGCTCACCTTAAAGCCCAGCAATGGGGGTCGTGAGCAGCTGGTGACAAATTTGAGCAGTTGCCGTCGCTGCAAATCGTCAAATCCCTCCACAGCCTCCCAGAAGGCAACAATTGACGGATGTTCTGGGGAGTATTCCCCGCCATACTTGCAGTGTTTTTTCAAGTCCTCTAGATCGATAGGTATTTCGGCGCCCGATATGAGTATTTGCAGCTCTTTGTTGCTGAACATGTAAAGCCACTCAATGGGCAAGACATTGGACAATCCCTTGCGGAAGGCTTTGCAGTGACGCTTGATTTGCACATTGAGCTTATAGTTAGCTATTAACTGTAGGTACTCGATCCGATTTGAGTTGGTCACCGGGGTGCTCTGACCCTGAGGTTTGAGCTCCACCACCTGCGTCTGCCCCAGCGAGCTGCTGGCGACTGTAAAATCTAAATTCAGTTCACTAACATCACCTGGATAGTCCTTGAGGTAAAGTAGATTCCTGTAGAGTTCCGGATCTAGTGAGGCCAACTGATGTATATCCACGTCTGAATATTTTCCAGCTAGTTTTGTTAGGAAAAATTCGGCCAGCGGAAGCTCCACCAATAAATTTTCATAGATTGCTTTACCCAAAATACGACCGATAAAATAATAGTGCTTTTCAAAGTCACTAAACAGATCCGCGACATTCGGATTAGGATACAGTTTGTTATCCGTCGTTACCCTAAGAAGAGAATACACATTAATATTAAATGAAAAAAAGTTGTTCAATTATTATCATCTTACATAAAGAATCCCCGATTGGGATCAAACGATGTTTTTATGAGCTCCGATAGAAATTCTCGAAACACACCACCACCATCAATGCCCGCCTCATCCAATCCCAACTGCGAAACAAACTGTATGCGAAACTTCAAGCGTAAGTCCGGCTCTGAAAGAGACATGGCCCCTTAGTAGACAGAGTTTTAATCAATATTAAAGCTTCATACCATTCTCTGGCCGCAGTTTGTCGTAGGCATCTTCATACAAATGCGTACGACGCACAGTTACCATAATAGAGGGCCCTTGCAGAAAAGCCTGCAGATGACCCTGCACGCGCATCTTGTTAGCGGCAACTAGACCCTGCAGTATGCTCACGCGCTTACTGAAAGGCACGACGAAGGGTATTTCGCGCAATATGGTAATAGAGCGTTTTTGCTTGGTCGACATGGGCGGCCCGTTCTCAAAGTCTTCGCGTGTGAAGTCGCGTATGGGTTGAAATGGACGTATACCACGCATGCGACTGCTGTGTGTCAACGGCAGATCCGTTGGCCTGTCCAGTGGCAAATCCAGCCGAGAAACAGTCCAATGCCCTTCCGGGCAAAAGCCAAGCCGCAGATCTCGCGAGTGTATTTGATTGAGCACAAACACGACGACATTTAATAAATTGGCCCAAATCTGCTTCTGATGACGTAGCGTCTTGCCATCGGCGTCTGTGTGGCCTAGCACACTGCGAAATGCGAGCTCCACCAGGCCCAGGCTAATGTCCTTAAGCGTCTTCGACATTTGCACTATCTCCGCAATGGAGAAGGGCATAAGTCTCGCATGGCGCAGAGGCGCCGTTTCTAAAAACTTTTTTTCGACGAATTCCACATCGTGCAACGTGGGCAACAGGCGTCCAAAGAGCATGCAAAAAGTGGCTAATAGAGGTATTGTACGGTCCACGCCCTGCTGCTTGGCTGCAAAAGTATTTCGATTAGATACACATTTCAAGTATTTTCGCTGACCTTTTGATGTCTTCACTTACGGACAACACCCTTGGATATAAGTGAAAGTGGGGATGAAAATCCGAGCTGAGTTGACTCAGCGGCCAGCTTAAACCAAACAGCTCGTATGAACTTTGGCGTGAAAGCCAAAGTGTAGAGCAATCTATAAAATCAAATCAGAGATAACCATAACAGAGCTCGCGCTACGATGAATTTTACCTGTATTCATAGACTGCATGCTTGTTGTAAATCATCAGATTGTGACAGATCTCGCATAGCGCATAAATCACCTGGCTTTGCTCAATGTACGGCTCAATTTGCTGCACAATGAAGTCCACTCGCTGGGTTTCGTTTAATATGGCTATCGATTCTAACAGGCTATTCCGCTCCTTGCTGCTCAGCTCGCCTGGCGTGCGGCAGGACTGCTCCATGTCGTAGTCGAGCGTGCGAGTGGAGGGCTGTCCCTCGTCCTCCTCGCCAGACTCATCCGACTCATCTTCATCGTCGGAGTCTGTGTGCCGATGTGGTGTCGCATGCGTGCGCAACGTAGATTTGGGCAGCTGCAATATGTTCGGCATCATTTGAGCAATGACACGCACATAGACAATTAGTAGGTTGCTCTGTTCTAATGTGCCTGCAGATTAGTCAACACATTAAATATATTTCCATGAGCGAATATTTGTATACGCACCTAGGTGGCTGCGATCCAGCACCAAGAGCGAGTTAAGCAAATACGAGCTGAACAGCGCATCAGTTGTCTGCGGCTTTGACGACTTTGCTTCCCCATGCATAATCCCATAAAACACATTATTAGTGCTAACATTATCTGTCGCTGTAGCTGTGGTTGTGGTAGTGGCTGCAGTCGTGGTCGTAGTCGTGGCTTCAGCAACGGACGCCGCCTCGGTGAGATCCAGTAGTGCATGCAGCGTGTGCATGAGCAGCGCATAAGGAAAGTCTTTGCTCTCCGCCAAGCATGGCAGCACGAAGTTGCGCACTGGTTCTGTGTGAGGTGTCGCTAAAATATCAGAAATGAACTTGCGGCAAAAGAGCTGCGACAACTCGCTGCAGGGCTGACGCAGCGCTACGCTTAAGGGCCGCAACATCAGCTGCATCAGCGCATCAACAAACGGAGTGGGAGCGTGCAGTGTCTCGCCGTCCAGCGGCGGGCATTTCTCATCTAGCAGCTGGCGCAAGCGCACGAAATAGTTGCGTTTGATAAGGAAGCCAAAGACACACTCCATATACTTGTACAGCACTGTCTCATCCTCCACATAGCGTTCCACGGCTGCCACTGTAGTGAAAGTCTCCAGCATGCGTAGTGGAATAGCCTGCGCCTTGTGCGGAAGCGCCAACTGCAACAGGCACGCGTCCAAGACCTTGCACACCCGCAGCAACCAAACGGAATCGTGCGCTGAGTGCTGGAGCAGACGTGTGGGATTTCGCAAAATCTGTTGACAAACTTCAATCTGGAAAGGCAATCAAATGAGTATTGATATAGCTATTTGCTAAAAGGAGCTCACCAGTCTGTCGCTGTCCTTGGTCACACGACTGCTGTAGAAAAAATTGAGGCGACGTAACAGGAAGCAGAGGCTCACATCCTCCGTAACGCGATCCCGGTGCGCCTGTAAATACGCATCAAACGCCTCCCGTTCGGCTCGCTTGCGTCGCTGGCGATGGATAAAGGAGCGTGCATACGACTGCAGAACGACTGCACCGTGAGTCTTCTGTCGCAGCTCATTGCGCTTCTGTCGCTCGAGCGCCGCCTTCCGTATCGCCGTGTCTCGGTCGCATGTCTGCGAGGCGCCTCCAAGACTTTGCACTGGTCGGCGCCGATACTCACCATCGAACCCAAACATGACACTGCAATTGTTCTGCTGCGAATGTTGTTGTTGCTGCTGCTGGTGTTGCTGCTGCTTAATTTTCTCCCAGCTGATCAATCGCACTCCCCCACTCAGCACATAATTTTTGTTTCTTGATTGGCAGACGTGCTTGCACTATTAAAAATACCAAAATGCAAAGGACAGCGGCGATGCCACGATAATTCACTGATTCAGCTCCAACCCAAAACACACTTTTCCCTTGACTACGTTCAATTTTCTGAATGCGTAAAAAAAAACTTGCTAAAACGAATGATTTGTATATTTTTTCTGTGGTGCGCAAAAGCGCTAATTAATGACAAAAATTGCCAGCTGTTCGTCGCTGTCCAGCACTATGCGACTTTACAGTGTTATTAACCATCAAGGGAACAGTTGAATATCATTGCGAACGTTAGAAAAATTCCTCATGTAACTAATACTCGTTTAAAATGTTTATTCTATTTTTGTTTCTTTTTATAATAGTGTTATGAAAGAAATATCAAGCAACCTTTATAGTTATATAGTTGATCATTCAGCACATGTATTAAAAAAAAAAAAAAAAAAAATATGAATTTAAAAGAAAATATGTAGTATAATGTAAAATATTATTTTAAAAAATTAAATTTGTTTATATATTTTTGTAAGCGTTTACATATGTTCCAAAATATTTATGTTCCATCATCAAAATATTGATATGTGTATGTGCCAAAGAATAATATATATGTATATTATTTGTATACAAATATTTTGATAAATAGGCGTCTCACATTCCATAGTTTTTTTTATTTCTCCCCCGTCTTTTATTTGTTTTATGTCCGCATAAATAAATATGATATATTTGAGTAGCTGCCGTAACAGAAGATCAGCTGATGAAACGTAAATACAAAGCTGGAAACTTGCAAGTTGCAACTGAAAAAAACATCGGAAATCCGCGTCAACCAGAAAAGTAAATATGTATGTATATCAGATTAATTTTTCCTTGCATAGCGACCTCTGTACACACTCACCGGCCCCCAGAATTGATGTAAACAGCGAAATATGTGAATCGGTATAGTCTGGTATTTATTTCCACGTCTACTCAAGTACAATTTTTGTAAAATTACTAGGTAAGACGCTAATTTCAGCTTAAATAAAAAAAATCAAATGTGTGCATATGTTACGAATAAAGACTTAACTGAATTTTAGAGAGCCTGATAATGAAATTGGAATGAGTTTTAGATACAAATGAATTAGTCTATTTGTATATAAATCCACGTACATACATATAGAGAGCAATTACCAAATTCTGAAAAACTGATAATAAAATATCAATTTTATTTTTGCATGTTACAAATTTTTTTTCGAATCGGATTAGGGAGCTTTTGAGCCTAAACTGTCTAATTAGTAGCTTCTGATTCTGGTCTGTATTCTCATAAATAACCGTCAAATCCAAATTACCCATAGGAAGGTAATCGAATATCCATTTCACAGTGCAGCATTCGGCAAACCTTGTGTAGGAGCTGTTCCATTGCTTCCGTGTGGGTGACGCATTTGATGACGGTTGTCGATGAGCGCGAGCAGAGCTTGAGGCACACTCATGGTTTGATCGTCGACGAGCACAATGTCGAAGGCATTCATGTACTTCTCCATGTTGGCCTCCACGTGGTGGAAGAGGAAGCCAATCCTTAGAATGTGCGAGGACGCTGGCACGCCGGCCGCCATGTCCGCGTCGCCCAGGGAATCCCCCATGACAATAATATGATCACGCGTATGTACCAGCTCGTAATATTCACCGCCCTCGAGCACAGTTTCGTTCTTGTTGAAAATGTGAATCATCGGCTCCTGAAAGCCGTCCAGCAGGCCATCCCGAAAGCGCAGAAAGTTCGAAACAACCTTTACATTCGGCTGCATGATGTTCGCCTGTTGCATCAGCGACACCACCGAGTTGCCCAGGCCGGCGGAGAAGACGAGAACCGGAATTTGCAGACGCTGCAGTGCTTCGAAAAGCTCATGCGTTCCATCACGTAGCGCATGCTTAAATTGGCCAGCCATTTGATCCAATTCGGCCAGATCGAAGGCGAAGCCACTGGCCAGTTTGCCCGACTGCGTCCACCACTCAATCATGTACTGCACTTTGTCGGGTATCGGCATATGCGGGTCAATCTCGATGGGATGGTACTTGTGAAAGAGCTTGTCTATCTCCTCTTTGAAGTTGTCCGGCAGGGACTTGCACGAGTTGAAGATGCCAAAGCTCGAGGGCACAGCAACGCCGTCATCCGTGCGCTGCTTCGTGATCGTGTAATCAAAGTCGGATACTATCTGCATTCGTTCCGGTCCCCCGCAGACAAACTCGTTGATAATCCGTTCCACTCGCTGCGGATCGCGCATTCGACAATGTTCCTGATTCAACTGTGGAATATCCTGAATGCGCACATAGCCCACACGATCCTCCGGCGATTCGTTCGATTCTGTGACACCCATTTTATTATTCGTCTGGTGCCTATTGCTCCTCTTCCGATCTGTTCGACGTGTGCTAGGCTCGAATAACGCTCAATGACTGGAAAGAAAATATAAGAATGGTATTACTCGATGTGCTATCGTTGGCAAAAGTTCGCGTGTGTCGGGGAAAATTGTTTACTGGTGTTCTCATACATATGTATGTATATTTACAAGGGTGCATGTGTCTGTGAGTTTGTACTTAGAGGTGAGCGATTATGTATCTTTAGGCCGAAACACAATATTACAAATACGATCTCATTTGGTTGAAGTCAAGTTACACTGGTTCAACCAATTCTGTAACATTTGATTGAATTTGTTCTCAAAATCCCTATGCATTTAAGCACTCGGAATTACTTTGTGTTTAACAATGTCCCCTGTGTATTTCACGAATCCGCTTTTATGAAACATCATTCACAGAATACGAATATAATTAGCACGAAATTCAGTTCATACATCCAAAATTATTTATTAGCATGGAACTACTGAATAGTTCATCACTATATCTCACGTATGTACGTATGCATGCATGTGTTTATATATGTACGTATGCAAAGAGATTCGCGCATTCTTAGCTGGCCTTGATTGGTAGTTGTTGCGAATTTGTGTTTCTTTGGTTCTTGACGGTTTATCAGGCTTTCGGGGAAGCTTTTTTGATTTTGCACTTATATACTTGCTGACATTAAATGCCGCACAAGCATACGCGTATTTACTTTTCGATTTGCATTCCCTGACTGCGCACCCACAAGACAGGCTACCAATGGCACAACACAAACAGAACGCCGTGAACAGCTGTTCCTGCAGAACGAAATGGAACTGGAACAAAACGTGTGAGGCCGAGTAAAACGCAAAAGTGGGAATGAGGTTTTATAAATTGTTTATTTTTGTGCTCTCCTCTCTCCTTCTCTCTAGCACGATGGTTCTTTTGTTTGTTAACTGAATAAAAAATAAGTCTCCTTCAATTCAGAATTAAGGATACATTAACAACTTAACTATATATTCATTAAATATGAGTTATTCCTATTTTAGCTGCTGCGCGGGTATTTTTCTACAATATTTTGTTTTTCTTTTTTTTAGAAGTGACTTTCCTGGCCACCGTTTCAATCTTCGATGACAATGGGGGCTGCGAGCGGATCTTTTTGACTGTGACTTTTATTTTCAAATGGCAAAAACTTCCAATCGCCTGGCAAAGAACCCTTCAGGCTCAATTCTCGGGACAAATATCTGCAATTGAAGGATGAAGCAAAATATCAGCTACAATAGTCGACAAGCGTCTATGCGTCGGAATAGCTACCGGTTGAGATAGTCGCTGGCGGCGTGGCCAGTTTTGAACGAGTAGAGGCCCTCATCTGGCAGCTTGACCATGAGCTTGCTGTCCACTAGCTTGGCTCTGAAACGAGGCAAGTTCTTGGCCACCAGAAATCCATTCTTCTCTTTGGCATTCAGCAAGTGCTTCTGTGGCTCCACAGCACTGGGTGGCTTCGGTGCCAAAGTCTTAAGCCCTGTGGACTGAGTTGTCTTGACCGCCGACTTCGGTTGTGGAGCACGCGTCAGATGCGGCAAACTGCTGCTGGCATATGTCTGCTTGGCCATTCCAGAGGAAGCTGCCGCACCCGCTGGCAGTTCTTGGATCTTGCGTTTGGCACCAATTTTGATAGGCTCGGCGGCAGGCAGTGGAGCAGCTTTATCCTTGGTCCTCATCTTGGTAATTGTTAGGCCGGCTGTGGAGTTGCCCATTTTAATGTTGCCATTGGTGTTGTTGCTCAACAGCTGCTGCAGCGTGTTATTGACCTTGGGTGCCATCGGATCCTTGCCGGCACTTGCTGCACTGGTTGCCGCTGTCGGGGTACACCGCTGCACTGAGATGCGGTTTATTTTGGCTGGCGGCGGCTGTGCATTAAGCTCGCTGCTGGCCACGGCTGATGGCGACGGCGCCGACGTCTGGGTGAGCTGCACCTGTGGTGTTAGGAATTGTGTAACTGGCACTGTGCCGCACACCGCGGGCACGTTCGAAATGAAGGGCATAAACGCGCCGGCTAGAAGATTGCTATTGATCTCCTTGACCATGGCCCCTGTTTGGGGAACAGCTGCTGTTATGTGCAGGCTGCTGCTGCCGCTGCCGCCGTCGCCTTGGGGCAACGCCTGAATAGTGAAGTTGATGAGCGGTGCGGATGTGGGCGCCTCCTGTGCCGTCGCATTTGGCTGCGCCACCTCGTCCACTGCTTTATCTTCGTCATCGTCGTTGATGACGATCACGCAATCATCTTCATCATCAGTATCTGCTGCCTCTGCACCTACAGCTGCCTGCTCCAACGTGTTCAACGCTGGCGAGGACTCCACCCCAGCTGGCAAATCAATATTGAAGTGCACTTGGCCATTGATCTGGAGCAGCCAGAAGGCCATGGTACGCCTTTCACGTTGCACCGGAATGTTGTGATTCCGCTGGTAGACCTCGCGCAGCATCATCTTGCCATCCACACTTTGCAGCAGCACTAGCACAGGAGGCGGCGTGTCCAGGGGCAGCGGTCCAAAGTAGATGACCCGCTTCGAGGACGGCGTTACGAAGGCATCATAGGGGGCGTCCTGAAAGAACTGCAGCTTCACCATCTTATTGGTGTCATGTGCGACGCGGGCCACATTGTGTATGCGATCCAATGAGATCATGTCCTTGAAAGCCGGCACAAAGATATGCGAGAAGTCATCATACAAATTAAGCACTAGCCAGCGATGATCGTGCGTGTGTGGCTCCGGAATCTGCAGGTCTGGAATATCCGCTTGCATGACTTTACGGAACTCGATGTTGCTGCAAATAAGTGAGGGTTCCTTCCTGTCGGCAGATGCCTTGCCCTCCCATGCGGATGTAGGGACGGGGGTAGGCGCAACGACAACTGCAGGGGAACCTAATACTGAGCGAGATGTGGATGGAGCAGCAGATGGCGCGCTCTGTGCAGGTGCAACTGGAGGCGGAGCAGGAGCTGGAACTGCAGTTACAGACTTGGAGCTGGCTGCTGCAAGCGGTGCTGCTTTAGTGCCAACAACACTCGCCGCTGCCCCAAGAGCAGTTGGTGCTGGCCGCTGATGACGTTGCTGCTCCCTAATGCGCTGCTTCACCATCAGAGTGCAGAGGACATTTATCTTCTTTGTCAGTACGGGATGTGTCTGCGGCGTTGGCTTGGTGCACGCGTTGCCCTCCATGTAGCGCAGGAAGCCCTTTACCAGCCAGTACTGCTGCCTGCCCTGCATCACCACAGCCAGGCGACTCGTGTTATCGTTTCGTTTGCCCTCGAGCAGCATGCGCGCCATCAGGGGCAAGCTGTTGCGGTCGGGAGCGAAGTGCGTGTTGACCACGGCAATGGCGCCACAGATGGCTGGCATCATGTTCGTTATCGTAGCCGCCAGGAAGCTGTGGTTCTTCATTTGCACATCCCAGATGAACACATAGTTGGACTGGAAGGCGGCCAGGAAGTTGGCCCACTTGATGATGCACAATATCTCCTCGTTCGGAGCTGGGATTATTTTGCTCTCGCGCTGCAGCGCCAGATCGATGTCCTGCATTTTCTTGCTGACATGGGTGTTCATCTTCTTGATGACTTCGTTGTAAGAAGCACGGAACGAGACAGAGTCCACACTCGGACTGTCTTCATTGATGGCCATAGCTATGGGCATCTCATTGCTGCCCACGGCAACATCTAGGGCGTTGGCGTTCAGCGAATAGCAAGCTGATATCTTGGGCATTTGGATTTCCAGCTTGGGGACTTGGGCTTGGGGCTGTACCTCCTGCGGCTCTGTCTGCTTGGCTGTTTGTTCTGCTGCCCCTGTTTCCTCTGTTTGTAGCTTCCTTCGCTTGACCTCCGGTTCTTCCACGTTCACTTCCTCCTTGGCGCTGCGTTTGCTTGCCATAGACTCCGCTTCACTCTCATCCGAATCGTCGGCCACCTCAATTACCATTAGCTCTGCAGTCTGAGCCGATTTCGCCAAGCGGCGCTGTTGCTCAAGCTCAGAGCGATAGTAGCTAACGGCACTGGCCACACGCTGATCGAGCAGCGCCTGTGTTTTCGGAGTCTCAGCTCGTGTTGCCTCCACACGAATGCGATCCGCACGGCGTCTGTTCAAACGCAAATAGCAGTTCCTGGGCACGGACACCACACGGCGACACAAATTGGGCCGCGAGCGATAGTAGCTGAAGATTATATCTAGCTCGGCGGGACGTTGAGGCACCACTACCACGGCTGGCACAGGTGGCACTTCCACTTTCAAAACAGGCGCTGGCTTGGGTAGCAGTTTAACTGGCTGCAGCCTAATGGTAGCACCGTCCTTTCCCAGTTGCTTCTGCGGCGTTATTTGCTTTGCTGTTTGCTGTTGTTTTGGCGGCGATGCTTGTTTAGATGGTGGTGTCTGCTGCTGCTTCTGTGGCATCACCTGTTTCTGTGGCAGTTGCTGCTGATGTTTCTGCTTCTGTGACTGCTGCTGTTGCTTCTGTGGCAGAGGCTGCTGTTGCTGATTTGGTTGCTTCTGTGGCAGTGGCTGCTGCTGCTCCTTCTGTAGCTGTGGCTGCTTTAGTACCGGCGACGTCTGCTTTTGCGACTGTGGCAACTTTAGCACCAGCGGTGGCAGCTTCTGAGGTTGGGTCTTTGCCTTCTCTTTGCGCCGCTTCTTATTTGACTCATCCGGCGGCCGTTCGAAGCTGTAGTGAGCGCGAGTCGCCAGTTCGGGAACATAATGAGGTATGGGCAGGTCGTCTTTCTCTTTCTCTATTACAACCGGCTTGCCTTCGACCGCCAGTCCACCGCAGAAACATTTGTATAGCTGATGGGTCATGCAGAAGGTAGCCAAGTTGGCGACATCGGGCAGGCGGCGCAGCGCAACCTGACAATGCTTCAGCTGGTCAAAGTCCGTGTCCTTTATTGAGCACGGCTCACTAAGCGACATGGGAACGCTCTCGGTGCTTCCGCGCGCGAGTTTCAGATTAATATCGCGCTTTGCAAACTTGCTGGGACGCAGTGACCCCTCATCATCCTCGATGGAGTCGTCGAAGTCTTCGTAGCGCTTGGGCGCCTTAGT